ACATTTTCTTCTTCTTGTTATTTGACATGGAGTCTTTTGCTGATGTGGTAATGAATGTATGCTTATGTGTTTCAATAGTGCGTAATTGATGAGTCTAAAAGCAAAAGAGTTACATAATATTAATGTTACATATGACATTCACTACATAATCAATCTATTATTTAAATATTTATTACTATAATGAAAAGAAGTTAACAACATGCACTTTTACAGTAATTGGGAACTTTGTTGCTGATGTTTTTTTTTTTTCCTTGAACTGAACAATTCTCTGTATGTTCTTTAAACTGTAAAAGTATCAATACAAGAGTTTCAAGCTGAGGTAAGAAAACATCTCACGGAAAGTAGAGTAATGAATGAATGAAATCTACAAGGAAACACGAAGCAAGTATAATCAATAGCATACTCTGACTTTTGACTTTTGTTATGTAGCATGAGTTGGATTTCTCATCACAATGTTCTATCATTTCAACCATCATTCACAATAAAAGAAATATTGAAAAGAAAAACTATCGTGAAGACAAAATTTTCTTTCCTGAAAACTGTAACACCTCGTACTTCTACTAAAAAAACTCATGGGAACACTTTTTTTTTTTTTTGCAAAAAAATCTGGTCAGCCTAAGACCCCCACTAAAAAGCATTTAGTATGTTTTATGTGTATGTGTGTGTGTGTGTCTCAAAGGTGATGTAGGAGTTGTGAGCATTGAATAGACTTAAAAATCAAAATCAATTTGACAAAAAAGTTTAATATCTCCTTAAGAATGATGTTGAATGGAAACACGAACCTTTTGAAACACTTCAGGGTAAGCACTCCATTTACTTATGTGTTGATATTTTATTTTGTTGCTGATATCGTTTTAAAGTTTCAAAAATTATCTTGAATTGAGATAATTTTAGATAAAATAAATAATTTGTACATAAATTTGATGCAACAAATGGATTGGAATTTAATTCCAACATGCAAGTAGATATTCCTTATGTCTGATATTATTTGAAAGAGATAAATCAATCTTGTCCTAACTAGCTCCCCATTATTCATTTGCTGCATAAATTCATAAATTCACAAATGTATTAAAGATGACATTCGAACCTAGGATTTTTTTTTTTTTGAACAAAAATTTGAACCTAGGATTAAAGTGTTTATTTTTCAAATGTATCAATGATTACATGGAAGCCTTGTGGCAGGGCCCAGAACTTTTAAGACTAAGAAAGGAGCACTAATAATTAATATAATAGGATTTAGTTTTTGTAATCTATATTGATAATTTTTCCTTTTCCCTCCTTTTGCCCCTAATCTTTTAAGGAGCACATTTCTCATGACACGTGTAAATGTTTGAAAATCTTATTATTTAGTTAGACAAAAATAACCATTTTATTTTAAAGGACAAAACTAACCTCTCAATGGCCTTTCTCCATTCAGTACTCAGAAGCTAGATATAGATCTATTTTGGATGATCAAAATTTTAAATTTTTGTCTTTCAATTTTCAAAGAAAATGTTTTTCACAAATGAAGTTTTTTTATAACTAGAGGAACAAGAAAAAACATATATACAAAATAAATGAATTAAAAAACAGCTATCCTAGTGATGAAACATCCTTTTATAAGAAGCATTAAATATATAAAGCTTGGATGAATGAGCAACCCAAAAGCTTAGCTGAAGGTATTAGAGATAAAATAAATCCCACATCTAAAAATTAAAAGATGGATCATGAATATATACAATTTGAAATGTATCTAACTAGATGGCTTAAGCTATTTTGATTAAATAGATTATCTTAAAATATGCTTAATATAAAGAATCTACCAAAAAAAAAAAGTAATCTCTGTCCTTCTCTAAGTGGCGAAGAAGTGGTACCACCTTCCTCATTAAATCAAGAAATATAAAAACTTGTAATTGTAATTAACCTCCCATTTAATCTACTCCATGTCCAAAACTTGTAACTTGATATTATTTTGTATGTGTCCCTTGTCGAGAACCAGTCAGATCTGGATTTTCGTGCCCAAAGAACATCCCTCTGAACAGTAGCTTCCTCAAGCTCAACCCAAAACTGTCTCTACAGCTATTCCGAAGAAGAGAACAACCCATCATCACGTAGTACTCTATTAATACCATCTAGTCGATCTACTCGTCTGTCTCTTCCTCCTTCTTCCCAGATGCCCAAAAACTTCTTTGCTCCTGGAAGAGACATATTTCACAGACTTACTAACATTCTCGCTACAAGCCTTCTAGTCACATGAAGCAGCAACCAATCATTCAAAATCATTAAGGTTCTTGAGGCAGCATACGAAGCAGCAGTGGCTGGTGGAAAATTGACATAAAAGAAAGTGTAGAAGCATTCGTGAATCTCTCAAGAAAAGAGTGTTTGTCAGGATCCTATCCGATTTAAACTGATACAAAGAAAGTAACTTTTTTTTTACCAACATTTCAAAGTGATAATTAAAAGATTTTTTTATTCTTCATTTTCCATTTACTAAAATAAGGAGATACTAAAATTATAAAAATAAACTAAAATTAAATTTGGACGATCTGGATGATAAGCTTGAAATCCAATTTGGTAAGGTTCCTCTTTCTCATCCTTAACCTACTTAGGTCACAAGGAAATTTTCTTTCTCTACAAAACCTCTCAAGTGAGATCAAACAATTTGAAATTATTTGAGATAGCATTTTAGATTGGTGGATTTAGATTTAGATTTTAGATTTAAAATCTAAAATTTAAAATCCATGTATTTTTGTTTGAATAATATAAAAAAATTCAAATTCAAAGACCAATGAAAAATGGAGGTGGGAAATGAAAATGGAAGGATATGCTAGTTAACATTTTAAATAAATGTCCGAGATATTTGAAATTAAAAAAATTATAATAAAATATAAATTTGAATTTTAGATGTTGTAAATGAGATCCACGGGTTAATCACTTGCCGTATAAAGATAGAGGAAGATGTAGATGCCTCATTTTAATTGGATAGAGGCGGTTTAATTGTAAGTGACTGTTACACAAACAACTTATCAGGATGCCTTGGTTCATTTTAATAAGGCTCAGCCTGATATACTTTGTTACATGATAGCAACAATGTAATCAGTACAATTAATGAACCCAATTTTTTCCTTTTAATTCTTCCCTTAATATTATCATTCTTCACAACCCAGCTCTCAATGGGCTCATGTTGCTCTCAATTTACTGTCATGCTGCTCATTTCCACACATGATTTCCTCCCTCCAATGAATTTGTTTACATTTCAATACGTTTTTGGGGTCAATATTTAAAAATTTTCTAATTAATTTTTTTTCTTAGTTATTTCTCTACAAACACATTGTTCAAGGTGTCCATGTGAAAATCATGCTGATCTAAATTCTAAACTACGTGGTTTTGACAGGACCAATCTAAATAGTAATAGAAGAAAAAGATATTCTGCTATTGTGGATGGAGAAGACATTATTGGGGCTTTTTTTTTTTGGCCCAAAAAAGTCAATTTTATTAACATCAAGACCAAGAAATTACACACCCTAATAGCCAAAGCAAAAGAAAAAAAACACTCAAAAAAACCTATGGTTACAAACTAGCACACATCTAGCCAAATAAAAAACAAAATACAATTAAACAAAAAACAAGAAAACAAAAGAAACAAAGTAACAGAACAATAAACTAATATAAGAGAACAATCTCAACCTATTCCGCCATAATCAGTAGAAGAACAATAACTCAACATGCTATCATTCCATAGTAGCCTAGCAAGAGGGAATATATTTTTTTTTTTGATTCTATTTTTTTATTTTCTGGAGAACTAATATTTTGTAAAATATATTCTCAAAGAAAAAGATTAAAAAATTTTGTTTAAATAATTATTCTGGAGAGCTAGAAAATGTAGAATCTTGTTTGGTGAATTGATAAGCCAATATTTTACTTGATTTTTAATGCATTTCAGCATTTAAAATAATTGATTATGGCTTTAGATTGGAAGGAAATGGGCATTATTGCCTCACATAATATCTTTATGTTGAAATTAGAAAAAAGGAGCAAGCTAATGGAAAAATTGGGTTTAAACTGATTCAACACAAGGACCAGGCCCAAAACAGGCCCAAAGGTGCATCACTAGTACTGGATAAGCAACAAAGGCTTTCATGACAGTTCATGATGATGGCTAAATGTGACAGATGAAATACACGAGTCAAAGCAATAACATGTGACAACCTTAAATTTTAAATAAAAAAAATTTCCCTTTCAAATAATATTTTATTTAATCTAATTGTTAAAATTTTATAACAAATGAAGCGTAATAGTTTATTGAAATAATTTTTTTGAAGGTTCAGAGTTCAAATTTTACTGAGTAAAAATATGATTTTATTTTGTTTTAAATTATAAAAAAAATTTATGCCATTTCTTGTAATTTTCTTGACCTTTTTTTGTAATATTTTGTGCTCTTTCTTTTAACTATTCCAGTTTTATCTTTTGATAACATTTTATCTTCTTCGTTGTGAAAAAATCAATATTTTAAAAACTGAATCGGATGATGAATTGAAAAAATCAACGGGTCATAAGTCTCATAATTTAACTGATTAAATTAGTGGTTGAACCAGTCATGTTTAATTCAATTTTTAAATAATAGATGCATAAGAAATATAAAATCAATCTATATTTAAATAAAAATATTCACTTATATACAGAAATTTTAAAATATTTATAATTAATTTCTTAGCTTGCTTAAAAAATAATATTTTAGTAAATTTTATTCCATCTCACCATTTTGCATAAATAGCGTAGGAATCTCATAAAAAAATCAAAATAATATCAACTTAAAGCCTTCTTTCTGAAACCTCTTTATGTTGGCCAATAAAAAATAATTTTATGCCCTTTTTTAATTCTATATTCCCGTCTCTTTCGCTGTCCCATTCTTCATTGGTTAATATTAAATAAAAAAATGACACGTAAAAAGAGAATGGGTAATGAATTGACATTACTGGTTCTCCAATCCAATTGATAAAAGCCTAACCCAATCAGTTTCTGTTTTTGCTTCCTTCGTCGTCGTCTTCCTCCATTCTTTCTTCGCAGCTGCACAGGTCTCGCTTGCAACAGTCAGATTTTCTTCAAATCTAGCAATCTGAAAGTAGATCTGGTGGTTTTGTATCAAGGAAAATACGGTGAGAATCATGGTTCGTTGTAAAATGTTTTATTTTCTTGGTTTTTTCTTTGAATCTATGCCATTTTTCTAATTTCATCTTCTCTCTCCATCTCTTCCCTGTGCCCTTTTTTTTATTCCAAAGTGTTTAGATGACCCTCCCGGATCACTCAAAAACCGTTCCAGGTTGATGGTTCAATCGGTTCTCTAAGAATTGCTTGGTCTAACACAGTCTGAAACGGCTCAACTGCCAGAGCGGGTTAATGGTCCAAACCGAGCCGCCTTCATGGATGGTCAACAGGTCGACCGCCCGGGTCAGTCTGGTTTTCAAAACATTGAAATAAAAATAAACAAAGCATTTTGCATTCTCTCTCCTTCACCGACATCTTGCTCCTCTTCTCTCTTCACAGTCGAATTCCTCCCTCACTGTCGGACTGCTTCCTTGCTGCCACTCTTCTCCTGTGCTCACCGAACCTCACTGTTCCTTCTCGTCTCCTGGCCACCGTGAGCTTGCTGTGATTACTGTCGCTGCTTCACGATCCTCTGTTTCTTTCTTTCCTCAGTGTTAGTGTGGTGTGCGTTGGTAACCAAGGAGTTTGGGCTTCTTCAATGTTGTTCCTTCCGTCTTCCTCCAGTGGTCTGCATGCTTAAGAAGTGAGTTTCTGATTTTTTTTCTCCTCCTTTTCTGGTCATCCATGGCTGTTAAAGCTAAGGGATTTGGCTCTTTTGTTTTGTGATGCTGTGGCTTTTAGGATGAGGGTTGAAACTTCTACTTTATTGTTCTAGCTGATTGTTGTCGTGGCCCACAAATTCAGCAAGGAAACTTGAGAAAATTCAGAGGCTATAGTGGCACTTTGAAGTCGGTAGTTATTAAATTTGAATTGAACTGTTGTTTTGATTAATGATAGAGGCCAATTCATTTTGATGCTAAGCTGAATTTTAATTAAAGAATTAAATGTTGGAAGTTATTGAAATTCCTTGGATGTTTGCTTTATGATTTTATTGATGGAAATGCCCTCAAGTTACTTGTAGAAATACTTAAAAGAAGAATTTAGTGGAATGAATGTTGTTAAACTTCCATGTTATGAATTCAAAGAGTATATATAAATTTTAATTTAAGCTACTGATTGGAATTTTAAAATAACATAGTAGGAGAAATAATTAAATAAAACTCTTGTTATAGTACTTGATTAAGTTTAAATAAATGATAAGAAGAGTTAATGTGACCTATTATGAATTGCAATTGAGAATAGGCTATGAGGAGGAATAAGGATGAATTAAGATTTGTCAAATAGTATGATTAATTTAAGTATATTTGGAACTTTAATGAATATAGTGCTATCTTGATTATTGCTTGAAAATTTAATTGTTGTTATGTTGTAAGGGATGGATACCAGGTCTTCTCTTGCCCTAGTTATGTTGTCAAATACTTCCTTACATTATGAAAAGAGTGAATAACTGATTTTAGAATTGTAATTTACTTGTTAGGAAATTAATGGCACCCTTGCAATTAAGTGACAAGTTAAAATGAAGCAAGCTTTAGAATTATTAGAACCTCTCAGGTAAGTAAGTAGTATCCAAATAATTTCTTACAAACTGTTTATAATTTTTTATTTAAATTTTTACATTATTCCCTTTTTACGTTGCATAAATATTCTCGTCAATTTTAATTTTAAGATTCATATAATTTTTTCTTACTTACCTAACTTTCATATTAACTAGTTTATTATGGAATTTACTTTATATTCATTATGAATTATGCTATTGTTAAAGAATATTTGAATCTAGTACATTATTAATCGAATATTTATTCTAAATATTTTTGTTGTTTAAATTGTATGATTTATATTACAATTATTAAAACGATGATTTGTGCATGGAGAAAATTGAAAAGAAAATTTAATAGTTGAATATTATATCTTGAAAAGAATGGGTTTCAATGAATGTTTCAACTTCATACATATTTTATTTTAATTAGGGAGATTAGGTTCAAAACATTGGATGCACTACAAAACAAATGACTTTTAGCAATGACTTTTAGTAGCAACCAAACAAGTTGTCACTAAACAAATTAAAGTCGCTACAAAAAGTTCACTTTTAGTGGTGACAATTTGTTGCTGCCAAAAGTTGTGACAAAAAATATATTTTTGACAGTGACAATTAAATGTTGCCTTAAAAAGTGAACTTTTGGCAACATTTAAAAGTTTCCGCAAAAAGTATTTTTATAAAAAATAATTTAAAAATTAAAAATAATTTGTATAATTACCTTTAGTCCACTTTTGGTAGTAACATTTAAAAGTCACCACTGAAAGTGGACTTTTAGCTATTTTTATAAAAAATAATTTGTATAATTATCTTTAGTGACAACATTTGTTTCCACTAAAAGTATTTTTAAAAGATTAAATATAATTTTAAATTATATGAAATAATTTTTAAAATTATCATTTAAATTATTAAAAAATTCTTATGAATTATTTTAAAAATTTAAAATTAAATAAAATCATTCAAAATATATTTATGAAATTAAGTTTCTTATTTTATATACAGTAGTAGAATTAAATGATATATAGGATCGTGAAACAAAAAGAATAATAGTGAAGACGTACTAAGTTTAATTATTAAAATAATTTTTAATTTTGTATTATTCATAATATTTTTTAGACATATATAGTTTATATTTTTCTAAGAATTATGTTATTAAGCTAGTATTTTAATATGATAAATTAAAATTTTGATGGCCTATTACTTTCAATTATAATTAAGTTAAGTTATACATAAATTATTACTTGTATACAAATATATAAATAGCATTGGGACGTTAACGTTGTACAGGTATCACAAGATACAAATGATATTGCAGACTACTCCCTCTGGTCCCATTTATAAGTCCAATTTTAGAAGGTGTATTTGGTCTCATTTATAAGTCACGGTGCGTCTTTTTAGGTAATATTTGAGAAGTATTTCCAAAATTACCCTTCATAAGAGAGAAAAAGTAACAGGACATTACTTTTTAAATTTGTTATATAGGGGCATGTTTGGAATTTTACTTACTTTTATTCCTTGTACTTTTATTGTATTGGTATTGATGAGGTTGGTAGAAATGGATTATAAATAGGACCGGAGGGCGTACTTGGCATATTGCACACTTGAAGCTTAACTTGGTATACACATAGTCTCTACTTCTTCTGTTGAGCCCTAATAGCATTTGGACAAGGATTTCATGTGATTCCACCTAGTGTATTTAGATTTCTATTGTTATAAAAATATTTACTAATAATATTTTTATAACTAATTATTACTAAGAAGAATATGAAAAATTATTCAAATCTACTTTGCTATGAGGTAGAAAATGATCAGAGGTTAGCTAGATTGATCACATGTGAGATCCTTGCAACTATCTTGTATTATAAAAGTTATTAGTATTCATTAAAAATTCAAAATTATTCAAAGTTACTATTAACAAAATTTATGTGGTTGAAATTAATTTGTTATTAAAATACTTTTTTAAGATATTAAAAAATTATAGATAAAATATATTTGTAATAAAAGAGTGGAGAACATTTAGCCATTTTGAGAGAAGGTAAAAATTTAAGCATATAGTTTATTGATTTTGAAACAAATAGGGGGAAAAAAGTAAAAGATATTTAACATAAACTAATATAATACATTTTTATAAATAAATTATATACTTAATAATTTTCATTTAAAACATAAAAATAAAATTTAAAAATTGGTTACAATGTACGTAAGAATATTATTTGATATTTAAAATTTGTTGATTTTAAGTTCATTTTCCTAACAAAAATAATATTTACCAATAAAAAAATATGTTATTAAAAATATAATTTAAATATTCATGTAAATTATTTTGTTATATTAATAATTGAAAATAAAATAAAATATATGTATATCTTTTTAATAATATATTATTTGATATATGTGTATGTAATTAGATAATATATATTTAATTTCACATATAATAACTACAATTGCATTTCAGTTCAACTAGCAAAGAAGGGAGGCTTAAGGCTTGAAGGTGGGAGGTCAAGAGTTCAAACCATTACTTTATCATATTTTGCTACAAATATGTGACGTGGTGCGAGGTAGTGACGTGGCATATGAGGTGGTTTGAGGAGGTATACACGTGGTATGTGATGTGGTGCGAGGTGATGACGTTAAGCATTATGTGGCTTAAGGGGGCACACACATGGTGGGTGATGTGGCAGTGATGGTGACATGCATGGTGCATGAGGTAGCGTGGGATGTGGCACAAGGTGGTAGGGTGATGTGGCATCATCTGACGAACGCGTGGCCTGTGATGTGACATAAGATGGCAAATGATATAGCATCATATGCCGCATATATGGCAAGTGACATGGCATGAGGTGACATCACGTGGCAGAGTGATATGACATAAGAATAAATTATCATTTTTTTAAAAAAAAAATTTGGTGGTGGCAAAAACTATTAGCGGCAATAGTTATAGCGACAACCTTTTAGCGGTGAAAAGTCACTGCTAAAAACTTTAGTGACAACTTTTGGACTTTTGGCAGTGACAAAAGTCTTTCTTTATGTAGTGATACTAATAACAGTTTCGTTAGCTCTTAGCGCACTATGGTATACTTATCTAGCAAAGTGTTTAGGAGGTACTAGCCTCATACAATGGTTAACGCACGTGGAATGGAAGGATAGTTATTCGTGAGCATATTACTCCTACTTATTTTTGTGAGATTTATGGTCACATTTGTTTTCATAGCCTCAAGCTGCGCTTGTCAGTTATTTATCCTTGTGGACTATGTCTATGTTTGTTAATCATTCTAATAAAGTCCCACTACAATGTGAATTTTTGGAAACTTCTTGGTTTTTTAATTTATTCTATTAAACAAATTATTGTTTGATCATATATGATTTTATATGGTAAATTTTCTCCTCGTTATTTACAAACATTTTTTCTTGATTACATCATTATTCGAATTTCTTTTATATAATTTTATGAGTTGTACAGTTCTTGATAACTTATAAAATTCCAAAATTATTGATTTATTTCATAATTATATTGTTGAGAACTTTATCATTTATTGCTAGTTAAAATATGTGTTTTAATTTTCCATTGATTTGTTTTAAAATAAATTTTATTAATTACTACTTTTACATGTTTTATCTATAATTTTGATTGAGATGCTACTCACCAGAAAATTTTCTTTAATCTTAAATATTGAAGTCGACCCTTAACCTCTTACTTATCATTAAAGGGTTTTATTGCTTTTTGAGATAACAAAAGCACATGTTAGTCATTTTATTGACGCAAATATATATTGTATTATCCAAATTATAACTTAGTACTTCATGTATACTATAGTTAGGTCTTAGACTTTATTTGTTATTATGAAATCTACTGGTGTGAAGCTAAGCTCCTTTTTGATTTGGCTGATGGGTTTTGCTACTGTGAAAATTTTAGAAAATCCTAATTACAGGAGAGACTTTGCTAAAATTTCTATAAAATGTTTAAAATTTTACCAACTTTATAATTATATATATATATATATATATAACTTAGATATTTTTTTTGACTAGTAGAGATTATTTATTGATATTTTATCTCAATATTTGGTTAACTAAGGCTTATGAAATATGAATTTATCTTATATTTTGTGCTAATTGTACCCTTAGCACCGAGAAGTGACATAACCTATATCACAAAATATGCTATCTATCATCAAGCGCTAAATGTACACAACTCATGCATAATTCATAGAATAAGATAAGAGTAAGTAACAAAAACAATGACATAGAGACAAATAAGGGAGTGTTTGGATGGAGAAGTTGGAGGGAGGGAAAGGGTTGTTACACAAGGACTAAAATAAACCCTACTATACTCTCCTCTCACTCCCAACACTCTTCTACAACAAACGTAATTTTTATATAATATGAAAATATAATTATTTTTTTATCGTTGAATTCTGGCCCAAAAAAAAACATTAAAGTAAGACTTTTCCTAACGAGATAATATATTAAAATTCATCAAATCATCTGCATATTAAAAAATTATCATAGATAAGTTAAGTGGAACTCAACAATTAGAAAAACAATGAATTATGATATAAACAGTTTTTTATAAAAGAAGAAAAAACTAGAAAGAGAATTGAAATGATATAATGTCAATTTATAATTAGCACTCTTCCTCCCCTAAGTCTTAAATTACACAAGAATTTTCCTCTGATCCCCTTCATCTCAACCAAATAATAAGTCATTACAAGTTTACAACCCCTCCCCACCGGCCCTCCTTCGTCTCTCTCATCCGCAACTGGTGATAAGATACGTTATCTTGGTCCATGAACGGTTCAAAACAGAGAGCTCGAAGTTTCCTCCAGGTACCCTCATTCGTAAGTGGTTGCGTTTTTCACTGGCCTTGTCCATGATCAATTCGGAACAAAGGCTTTTAGGACTTCATTGGAGTGCTTCATCCGTAGACGGTCATGAAAAGCATTGAGCTTATCTGTGACCGATTTCGTACAGAGGCAAGGATTTTTCTTCCTGATGCACTCTTTGGTCTTTTTTGCTTTCTTTCTCTGCAATTTAAAGACAAGCAAGTGGGAAATTTTAAAGAGAAGGGAGATATGTACAAATGGGTCGAGCTGTATGATTTCTCTACTATTGTGTCCTTACGTATACAGTGTTTGGGATTTAGAAAAATCTGCAAATGGACATTTGGATTGGTGTTTTATCAATACATTATTTGGGACACAAGTTGCATGTCCTTTTCTAGCTATATGCTCTACCCCATTGATCTTTTGAAAGCTTTTTGAAGTTCAGAATATGAACTTTATTAGCTTTTTTTTTTTTATAACTATCTGATATATTTAACTAATTATTAGAAGATGGGGAGAATTAGGTTTCCTCCTGGGTGAAGACTGAAATATAATATGTCGGACTCTGGTTGACTGGTATAATTATTTTACTTCATTTCCAGACCAAAAAAAAATTGTGGGTTCAATTTGCTATTTATTTTGGTATGCTGTTGTCTTTTTCGTTTCCTGAGAGCATATATTGAATAATAGTGACGTGTTCCATTGGCTCTTCTTTTTTCTTATTGCCTCTGTTTTGTGAATTTTTCTCTGGTTATTATATTTTTCCATGAAATGATTATTTCTTCATAATAAATGATCTATTGAAAGATTTAATTAAGACCAACATATATTCATTTTCATATCTTCTATATTTATTGTCTAAATCTTTCATGGCTTCAATTTTTATATATCCTTTCCTCTATAATAGAAGGGCAATTGACTCAAGTAGAAATTACTTAAGATGACCCTAAATAATTTTAGTTGCCCCCTTAAAAAATTTTAATTGCCCCTTACTTCAAAAAATTTCACTCATCCCCCTATAAAAGTTTATTTATCCCATTATTTAAAATTATATATATGTGTGTTATAAACTTAAATAGCAATAGTTTTAAAATGAAAAATCAAAAATTAAAAAAAAACTGTTTATGAAAAAAATTTTCACAAAAATTCTCCATCATAAAAAAGAGGTATATCAGTTTTATTTAATGAAAATTAAAAACATGATTCTATTAGATATAAAAAAATATTTTTATAAAGAGAGTATTTTATGTTACTATAATGTTATGTTTCATGCATTTTTAATATTTAATTTTACTAACTTATACCATTAATATAATTGTATAGATATTTAAAATTATTTATTTTTTTAAAAATATTAATATTTATTTTAAGTATAAATTATTATTCCCCATTGATTATTATTATTATTTTTTTCGGTCCATCACTGCATTCCTCCACCAGACCCTTCATTTCTTATAATTTTCTTCATTTTCTTATTTTGTAGGTCATTTCTTATAATGTTGCATTTATAATAAAAATCATGTTGTAGTAATAAAGAAAACTTTTGGGCAAAGATATTTCAATAGCCAACCAAAAGCAAACAAAGGTCCAGAAACAAGAAGTAAAGACAAAAGACAGGAAACAAAAGGAAACAATAGTAAAGAGAAGGCAAAGGAACATCAGCCAACTCCAGTCCTAGTTCTTGAATTCGAAGTATCAGCCCCATGGTTCGCAGCTTCCACAGCATCAGAGGTTAGAAGAGACAATAAAGAAGGTAATGGTTGAAAAACCCACCCTAATGGGCCCACCTTCTTAAGAGCACTAGATGTAAGGAAATCAACCACACAATTACCCCCTCGAGGAGTAAAACAAAGAGAGAATCCAACCTGTGATGTGAAGGTAGATGACGTCCTGGATTATACCACGACAATTCCACTTAAACAAGTTTGGAATTTTTTCTTCAACACTGTTGTAAAGCAGCAAGCAAACTGTCTCAAAAAGCACTTTATCATGCTCCATATCAATAGCAAGCATAAGAGCCCATTTGAGAGCCAGCGCTTCTATCATAAAAGCTGAAATAGACTTAATCTTGTCACAGAAACCCCATTAAAAATGTCCAGTACTATCACGACACACAACTCCAATAGCAGCTTCTTCGACCCTATTCTTAAAAGCGCCGTCATAGTTAATTTTGCAAAAATCAATAGGCGGACTATGCAAGATAGTAAGTAATTCAATCTGGGTAGATCTAGATACAGTATCGCAGGGGTCAAAACAAGTTGACCAAGCTTCAACATTCAACAACAACAGCAAGAATCGGGTTCACATGAGTAAACACTTCCACATTTCTTTGTTTCCAAATCAACTATAAGATCTAACAGATTAAGGCAATATCATAATCAGAAAAATTGCTATTGGGGTTAAGAAGAGACATCCACCAATTTTCAAAGCTAAACACATTTGAAGAATCAAATTTGAAACCAAAGTTGCTACCAAACCAAATACAACGTACCCAAGGACAGGGGAAAAAAAGATGTTCAATGGTTTCTATTTTAGATTCACAAATAGGACAAAAAGGGGTAAACCGTTACTTCCTCCTAAAAAGAGCCTCATTGGTTGCGACGGCCTTAGAGAGAATTCTCCAGATGAAATGCTAAACCTGAGGTACTGTTTTAATTTTCCATATGTTACTCCAAAGTGCATTAGAGATACTTCATGATGTGCTGGCCTTATGTTTGATAATGTTGTCGTTGCATCTAATATTTTGAGAACCCAATTTTACAATGTACTTCCCATCTTTAGCAGGGGCCCAAACGACCTTGTCTGATAATCCCTGTGTGGGAATGGAGAATTTTATAATTTCAACAATAATTCCCTTGGCAACTAGATTAAAGATTGGAGATAAATTCCAGCTACCATTAACAATGAGATCTGAGACTCTACCGTACTCAGGTTTCTCCAAAGGAGGAAGAGTAGGAATCCAGCAATCTCCCAAGATTCTAATCGACTCGCCAGTCCCAATATCACATAGTAGATCCTTCAGGAGAAAATTTCATCCATTAATAATACTCGACTAGCACCAAGAATCTTTTGACCCTTTCTTAGCATCAATAAATTCTCCCTTTGGGAAGTATAAACTTTTGAGAACTAGTACCCGTAAGTTATTAGGATTTTGTATTAATCTCCATGCAGCTTTAGCAAGAAGGGCTTCATTCATAAGAACAAAATCCTTAAATCCTATACCACCTTCAGCCTTTGAGCAAGTAAGGACATCCCAAGCATGCCAATGAGTTTTACCACCATTATCATCTCCCCCCCCCCCCAACCAAAAGTTGGAAATGAGGCTGTTAAGATCTTTGCATGTTTTGATTGGAAACTTGAAACAATTCATGGGATAGATAGGAATGGCATTAATAACAAACTTGATCATGACTTCCCTACCTGTATAAGAAAGTGTGGTTCTTGACCACCCCTGTACTTGACGTTGAATTTTTTCTCTAATATAAGAAAGTGCCTAATGTTTTGTTTTACCCCAAATATTTGGAATTCCAAGGTACTTTCTTGGATCCACAGCTTCGTTAATACCTAAGATATGGCAAACCCAATTTTTAACATTTACCGGAGTGTTGAAAGAGAAAAAGATACTAGATTTTTCTAGATTAGCTTGCTAACTTGAAGCAATACAGTAACATTGCACCAAATTTGCTAATTTCTTACAATTTGTAACATTAGCATTCATGAAGAGCAAAGCATCATCCGCAAAGAAACAATGATTAAGTTCAGGGCATATTAAACTCAATCTAGTCCCGTAAAGATGGCCACTCTGTTGATAGTTATTTATCATACTAGAAAGAACCTCCGCCACAAAGATAAAGAGATAGGGTAATAATGGATCACCTTGTCTCAAACCTCTCCCAGGCATGAAAGAAGCAATTTTCTCTCTAGATACACAAATATTTAGATTGACAAATTCCACGCATTTCATAACAAGAGACACCCAGTTATGGCAAAAACCAAATTCAAGCAAAACCATCTTCAAAAATCCCATTCTACCCTATCATAAGCTTTACTCATATCCATTTTCAGAGCAAACTCGAATTTATTACCATTTTTCTTATGTCTTAGATAATGGTAAACTTTGTGGGCAATAATAAGATTATCATGAATAAGACGTCCGGAATAAAAGCACCCTGATTAGGAGAAATACAATAATCAAGGAAGGGCTTCATTCGATTAGCAATAATTTTAGATATAATCTTGTAAGAGAAATTGCAAAGGCCAATGGGGCGGAATTGGGAGACATACTCTGGTTTATCAATCTTGGGGATGAGGGTAACATTTGTGTCATTAGTAACAGCCAAAGTAGAAGTTCCAGAAAAAAATTCCATCACCATAGAGCAAATAGAATTACCAATTTCAGGCCAAGCCGAATGATAAAATTTACTTGAGAATCCATCCGATCCCGGGGCTTTTGTACCTCCCGAACTGAAAGCAACCTCTCGAATTTCTTCTTTGGTAACAGGACGCATAAGTTGAGCATTTTCACATTCCCCGATTCTGGTATCTAAGAATTCAAGAGCAGTGGCCGTAGCTCTGGGTCCAAAAGAGGAAAAAAGATTTTGAAAATATCTTGCAATATTATCTGAGACGTCCGTCTTCTCCGTTTACCAGTTGCCATCTTCATCTCTAATCCTTAAAATGCTATTGTACTGCCTTCGCTTAATTGTGCTCAAGTGAAAAAATCTAGAATTACGATCCCCTACTTTAAGCCAAGAAATTCGAGCCCTCTGCCACCAATACTGCTCCTCATTATCCATAGCTTTCTCTATCAGTATCGTCAGCTTTTGAACTTTCTGCAATGTAGGTTCATTGCAGTCACCTTAAGCACAAGCAATTAGTTGCTGCTTAAGGTCATTAATGAGCCTCTTATTATTTGGAACTTCCTTTCGATTCCATCTAGCAATTTCATTTTTGTAAGAATCAAGTCTGGTTAGAAAATCCTGAATAAACGGTGTTATGCTAACAGCATTCAGATTCCAGCCCCCTTTAATAACATTCATGAAATCTACATGGTTTGCCCAAATGCCTTCGAATCGAAATGTTCTCACTTTTTTGGAAGAATTACAGTTAAGATCAGTCAAGAGCAGATGATGATCAGAGCCGATAGGATCTATGTCAAACACTTGTACATTTGAGAATTCCTCTATTAGCCGCACATTCCCAAAAGCTCGATCAATCCGTTCTCTAATCAATCCATCTCCCATGCGTCTATTACACTAGGTATATCTACAACCATTGAAGGCCAGGTCCCTCAAGTTACAATCAGAAACAAAGTTTTGAAAATTAATAATTTTTCTAATTGCTCTAGGATTACCTCCCAACTTCTTTAGATTAGGAAAGAAGATTGTTAAAATCCCCTAAACAAAGCCAAGACTGATTAATTCCCCTAGTAATCTTTCTAACTTCAGCCCAAACCAATCTTCGATCCTTCTCCTTTGGATGACCATAAATGAAAGTCACATAAGTAGGCACATCCATAACCGAGGACAACACACTAGTATGGATTTTGCTTGGTGTAGAATAGAGAATATTCACTGTGACCTCCTCCACTTACCATAACATCAGACCACCACCAATTCCCAATGGATCAACAATCCATTCCTCTGTGAATCCACACCTTCTTAATTTTCGAAACACATGAGCCTTCTGCTTTGTCTCCATAAGGAAAACAATTTGGGGTTTATTTTTAAAACATTCATCTTTAAGATTCTTAACTATCAAGGGAACCCCAAGACCCTGACAGTTCCAAGATAAGATTTTCATTGTGCACCAGTAGCCGATCCCATCTGGCTACTGGCGTTTTAAGATGAAGACGCCATTGTAATTTCCTGATTTAATTTGTTGGAATTAAACCAGCTAAGGGGAAAATAAAGTTCATGCTGACCTGATGCCCAATTGGAAGGAGTAGACTCAACCGGCCCACCATGCTTTCGGATCTGTCATTTTAAAGCACAAAAACTTTTCCGTATTCCCTTTTTCTTTAATGCCGAAGATGGTTGTGTCACTGGAATTGTAGTGTTGTCTTCATTGAAGCTCAGCATTCGACGTCTCTTATTTTTTTCTGTTCATTCGTCCTCATCAGCAGGTCGTTTTAGATTAATTCCTTTAAGCCCAATTGTTACAGCCAACATTGGGTAAAGCCCAAAATAAGGTACAATGGCCTTATTAACATTCTCAGTCTCAGATGGCATCTCTACGATATAAGGGCCTGCACATGTTAGGCTTTTGTCTATATTTAATTTTTGAGACGAAGCAGGGGAGTAATTAGGTTCAACGTAATAGGTTTGGGCTGTCTCATTTGTGGGCTCAAGAATTTCCATAGTTGGAGTCTCACAGTCCAAATCACATCCCGTCAACTAAACCTCCTTATACCAACAGAAGTTGGTCCGAGTAATAAGCGGCTCGGTTTCACTTAAGCAAGGTCTCGAGTTCGAGCCTTGTGTATGCAGAAAATTCTCATTATGAGACTCACCCACCATGCCAGGTGCACGACGCGGGTCGAATCCGGATGTAGTCAAGGTAAAGCTTCAGTGAATTGGGTGGGTTATAAAAAAAAAAAAAAAACTACACCTCCTTATGACTCTTCTACTGTACTTGTGTACCCGTAAAGTCTGCCCCCTCATTACTCTTTTTAATTACTGGATCACAATCAATCATTCCGTTCATTACTGCTTCATTATGATCATTAATCTTGATTCCACCAGATCTGCCCAGACCATCGTAACGTTTTCCATGATGGAAATTACCATTTTTGAAGCTATTCTTTGATGCTAGAGGTTGCTGCAATTTTCGACCGCCGTATGGTTCTTTTCCTTTAGACCTGCTTACACCTACTTGTCCTTATGAACAACCAGCACCTCATCAATGGTTTTGACATGCAGTGTGCTCATCCAACTCCCAAATTTGATCCCTTCATCATTATCCTCATCCTCACTACCATTAGTCACTTTACAGCTTCTACCATCATGACCAATACGGCCACATCCATAACAAAAGTTTTGAAGCCATTTATATCGAACTGTGATCCAGCTAGGTTCTTTTCCCGGCCTGGGCATCCAAAAGCCAGAGATTAAAGGTTCAGCTATCACTAGAAAAAAAAATGTTGTTTGGAGATGCACGATAAACTATCTCTATCTCTAACTAGTGAAAAATTTATTTCTAAACAAGTTGAAACAGATTTAAAAATGAATATAACGGTGTCTCAAAAAAGGGCATCGCTAAATAATTAGAGATGAATTTTTTAAGCCATCACTGATTAGAGATAGATTTTGTCTGTCTCTAAATAAAAAATACCGTCTCTAATTTTCATGAAAAATTCGCTGCTATAAAATTCTATAAAAATTATATAAAATGATAGAGACAGAATAAAAAAGTTTTTAAATTCGTCTCTAAAAAATAAAAACTAAATTATTTATGTCTCTATTACCATGTTATTGCCACATCACTTAACACTTCACCATCCACATGTGTACCTACACATGCTAACTCACCTACCCATGCGTGGGTCAACTAATGCCATATCATGCATTATATTGCCATTTCATGTCATGTTAGTTGCTACCACCTGCACATCACATATTTGTTACAACATATAATGAGATCAAGATTTGATCCTTGACTTTCCACATTTCAAGCCTTAAATCCTCCTTCTTTGCTAGTTAAACTCAAATACAACTACAATTATTATACACAAAATTAAATATATGTTACTTAACTACATGCACATATAAAAATATTATATTATTAAAAATATGTACATATATTTTATTTTATTTTCCATTGTTAATATGGTAAAATTATTTATATGACTATTTTATTATATTTTTAATAAAATATTATTTTTGTTAGGAAAATGAACTTAAAATGAAACAAATTTTTAATATAAAAATATTATTTTTTAAATGAAAAATAATTAAGTATATAATTTATTTAAAAATATGTATTATTTTAACTTGTATTATGTATTTTTTTTATTTTTATCTTCTCCATATTATTCTCAAAAATTAATAAATAAATAATTAAATTTTTATCTTCTCCTAAAATGATTAAATGTTTCCCATTATTTTCTCAGAAATAAATTTTATTCACAATTTTTTCAATTATTTTAATAAAAAATAATTATGACCATATAAATTTTTTTAATTATTATTTTGAATTTTTTTAATTTTTTGCTAAATACTAATAAATTTTAAAATAATAAATATTTACATTAAATATTTAATTTAAATATATTTATATGAATTTTTGTATTTTAAAATTATTTTCAATAAAATTATTTTTTGTCAAATTTATTTATTACGGAACAAAATTAAAATTGAAAATCTTATAAATATGTTATATATATAAATACATAATTATATTTATCATAAATTAAATATTATTATATTTATATAATTTTAAGTTATACTATATATTAATAAAATAATTTATTTTCTTATATATTTCAAAATTTATATAAAATTGCATTATTCATATATATATATATATAATTAGCATAGGAATGATATTTTGCATTAAAAATAATTAATTATAATTGTACAAATATTATTTATAGTCATTTCAAATATATTTTTATTAATTCTTCTTAATATTGAATTTCATAGATGTTTTGAAGTTTTGATTTTATTTTCTTATTTTAACATGTTGTAAAATATTGTTAGTGACTTCTTTCAAGATAATTTTGTTATTTGATAAAAAATTATTAATAATTAAGAAAGTACTAAAGAAAAATATGAATAACACAAAAGAGATAAAACATTCAATTAATTATGGTTATAGAATAAATTAATGAATACTAAATAGGAATTTAGAAAATAAGAATGGTTAAACTTAGAGAAAGAGGGAAAGAAGAAGAGAAAAATTTAAATGACATGTAAAGTATTTTCAAACACTATAAATTCTAAAGATAAATATTTTTGAACAAAAACATCAAATTTTTGTTGTTTGCATTGAATGGGAAGTTCACTAAATAATGATGAAATTTCTTCTACATCTTTTAAAGTTAATTTTCATTATAATATATTTCAAACATGTATTAGAACAATTGATAATCTAAAAATTTAAAATATAATTCTGTCTCTAAATTTGTCTCTATTTTGAATTAGAGACATTGGGAAATAAAATTAATTTCATCTCTAATATATTTATTTTAGTTGTTCTAATTCCGTCTCTAAATTAATAAAAATAAAATTATGAAATTTTAAAGAAATATAGAAAGGGAATTAGATATGGTTAAATTTTTGTCTCTAAATACAAAAAAAAAAAATAAGTCTCATATTCAGTCTCTAAATTTTAAAAAAAATATATAATTAATATTAGAGATGGATTTGGAGACGGCTAGTTTAGAGATGAAATTTATTCATCTCTAAACTTATTTCTAACATTTTAATTTTTTTAAAAAATTAATTTTTTAATGAATAATGACAGAAGTATTTTGTGATACTTCTTTTAGAGACATATATGTCGTTTCCAAATATGTCTCTATATTTTAAAATATTTTTTAAAGTTAAATCTGTCTCTAAAAATATAATCATTCTCTATTTTTGTCTTTATTAGAGATAATAAATAGGTTGTCTCTAATTTTTGTTTCTATTTTAATATTTTTTTGTAGTGTATATTGATAAAAACTCGCACCCGAACAAAATTTCGCGTAAATTTCCTATTTTCTTCTGGGTTCTCATGCATAACAACTTCTCCCACTGCTTGACCAAGGGTAATGGCATTATCTCTATCCAAGGCTTCGAGAGGAAGACCGTGGAACTGAACCCACAAAGGAGCAGTACTGAAATCAACCTCTTTATACACTGTGTAATCGTCCCTTGAGAATTCCATAATAATCCTCTTCTTTATCAAATCTGATTAAGAAAGCATTTTTGTCAGTATCAATATCATGCACCGTCACCTCTTCATCAAGGTTCCAACCTTTGTTAATCATCGAAACAACGACAGGCTTATTGAGTTTTTCATCTGTCAAAATTTTTCCCACTAACGCTCCTCCTTTCTTCTCTCTCTCTCTCTCTCTCTCTCTCTCTCTCTCTCTCCAGATTCAGAACAACCTCCTATATTTTTTTTCTTACCCTGGCTGCTCTGTCCCACCTCCATACCTCCAAACTACTAACGCACACACCCACAGAACGTGCATACACTCACACGAACAAACCCTCACAACACTCAAACTCACAAGAAACCAAAAGTAAGGAAACAAAGTAAAGGATTTAGAACAGCTGCCGTTCAAATAACGACAGCGGAAAAGGGGTCACTCACAGGACCAAGACTCTCACAGGGCAGAGGGACCAAGACTCACAGTCTAGTAATAAAGGAAAAAAAAAAAAAACTTTGGTTGAAGGTTTAGCCGAACTTTATAAGGTAGAGTGAATTACGTTGGAGAAGAAAATTAAAACCATATAATGTATGTATTCTAGAGTAGCTAAAAAGGTTTATTGTGTTCTTATTTGGACATTTCATACTCATGATTCTTATTTTCCCTTCTACTCTTGCAGGAAAAAGTTTAATGTGCTAGAGAAAGGGGAAGCTTGGGTAGAAATTAAACTATCATTCAAGATGCTTGGAGAACGTATAAATGTGCAATTAAACAAAAATATTATACAAAGTATGCAATTATGATTGAAAGATTGAAAAGCTCTTCATTAGATGTGCCGGAGTCTCATTTTGGAAAAAAGATTGAAAGCTCTTGATATTTCTATTTTTGTTATTCATATTAATTTAAAGTTTTGAAAATTCCATTGACGTGAGATAAAATTTTTATTAAAATAAATAAAACCTGGACCAGATTTTTTAGTCTGACATGCATATAGATAAAGGGAAAAAAATATTCCATATGTCTGGCATTAATATTTGGATCAGATAAATCGATATTTTATTGTAATTTTAAATAGATTTCAAGAAATCCAATTTTTATAGTACAAGTTTGGATTTGGAAACGGAGGTCTCAATTTGTATCCTGTCCCACTTAGCTCCCCCATATTCATATCATCATATGCAACATAAATTCACAAATGTATCAAAGATGTCAATCGAGCTTAGGATTAAAGTGTTTATTTTTCAAATGTATCTATCAATGACTGCATAGAAGCTGCCTTGCAGAACCCAGAACTTTCAACACTAAGAGTGGAATAACAATTAATATTGTAGGATTTAATTGCAGGATTCAGTTTTTGTAATCCATATTGATATTTTTCCCTTTCCTTTTTTGCCCCTTTTCTGTTCTACGGAGGCACATTTCTCATAAAACGCATGATATTTTTTTTAGTAATAAATAACAGTGAATAACCAAAGGTTCTTTCAGTGTTTGAAAATCTTATTTAGTTGGATAAAAATAACCATTTTATTTTAAAAGACAAAACTAAGCTTCCACTTCCATTGTCTATCTCCATTCACTATTCAGAAGCTGGATATGGATCTATTTTGAATGATCAAAATTTAAAATTTTTTTCTTTCAACTTTCAATTAATAAATTTTATTTTTGAAAAGTTAGATATTTTTTACCAACAAGTGAATGTGATAGTTAAATAGATTATTTTTATTCTTCATTTTCCATTTACTAAAATAATAAAATACTAACTGTAGCCCAAACACTAACATCATATGAATAAGTTAAATTAAATTTGGACAATAAAGATTATAAGCATGAAATTCAATATGGCAAGGTCTCTCTTTCTCATCCTCAACCTACTTATCTCACAAAGAATCTCTCTTCACAAAACCTCTCAAGTGATATCAAACAATTTGATAAATTTTTTTATATAGCATTTGGATTCATTACTAGAAAAATTAAAATTAGTGACGCCTCTCCAATCTATTACTAATTATAGGTGTTAGTGATGGATGAAATCTATCACTAATTACATAAATTATTGACGAGCAATAAATGATGTCTCCACATTTTGATCAAATTTTATAAATTTAGTGACTAATTTAAGCCTGTTACTAATTTTCATCACTAAATCTTTATATTAACGGTAGATTAGTGATGGATATTTTAAATTAAAAAATTTATAAAATGTACCGAAATATTTACAAAAATAAAAAATTTATAATTTGCAAAGAGGGATTCACATGAAAAAATATTCAAAATTAACAAATTAAGTAATTACATAAATATTTTTCCCTCTTCTTATAAGTAAAATATATAATATAAAATGATATAGAAAAAATAAAAAACAATTTTTTTATTATGTAAATTTAAATATAAAAATAAAATTTTTAACATATGAAAATATTTTAATTATAACACATGATATAAAATTATATAAAAAATATTTATTTTCAAAATATACATTAATTGATATTAAATAATATATTTATTAACAAATAATATGTAATAACCAAAATATTTAAATTATATTAAAATTTATAACAATATAATTTAAATATTTTTTATTAATTTTAGAGTAAAATTAATAAGAGTAAATTGGTGGTTCGGTGGATTCTGTGAGTTTTTATTTATAAGTTCAAAACCTCTTGCTGTAAGAATTACGAAAGGGGATTTTAATTTTTTCTATCGCTTCAGGAAATTATTAAATTACCTAATTGAAGATAAAAATATTATTAGTTCTCATGCCAGATATTTCCTTCCCATTTGTTTTCTTCTTGCGGGCATTTGAAAAAAAAAAAGTTAGTGGCAAAGCAAGATTAATCCAAAAAAAAAAAAAAATCGACATCCTCCCTTTCTCTCTTACCTTTGTCTTCATCTTCCCTCCCCCATCGTCCATTTTGTCGTCGGCAAGTGTGCAGGGAGTAGCTTAGCTCGACGACGTTGCAGATTTCTATTTTGGGCATGGAGATTCATCTCCCTCTTCCCTGTTTCATGATGCTGCTCTAAGTATGTGTGAGGTTTGAGCTTCGATTCCCTTTCCTTCTTAATGCCAGATTCTTCTTCTCCTCTTTGGACTTGCCATTGCTGGTTTGATTGGGGGGGTTGTTGGTTCTTTCTCCCCTCTTCGGTTGCATTGGTAGCACCGAAATCCTCCTCTATCCTCTTTGTTGACATCATTCGTGGCTGGAATGTGGAGCTCATTCTCCTTTCTTCTTCCGTGGTTATCTTGTGTGGTATGTATGTGTGTGCTTGTGTGTGTATATAAGTTTTTATTACTTGTTTAGCTGAGTACGTGTTGTTTTTGTTGAATTTTATTGAGCTTAAATTTGATTATTGATGGATGTTGAGTTTCAAAAGTAGGAAAAATCTAAATATTGGTATTTGAAAATTATTGAGTAAGATTTGAGGGCTAGGAAGTTTGAGTGAATGGTTGTAAATTGATGCACTTAAGGTGTTCGATAAAATGGATGATAGAAGAATTTTTGGTTCAAAAGAGTGATTATGTGTAGGGGGGGTGTGTTGATGCTGTAGATTGGTGTTCCAAACAATATGAATTGAATGGTAACCTGGATATCGTATTGTCATTACAATGGCCGGTGATGCTAGTCATTCCTATCAGTTTATATGCAAAGGTCTATGTCTTAATAGTGCTGATAAAAAAATCTAAGATTTATAGTATAAATCATTTACAAATTCCTATCACACAAGATGCATTAGCAAGTGCGTGTCAGATTATGAGTTTCTTCTTCTTAGATCTAGAACTAGCTAACCATACAAATCTCATACCCATCATCGATGATAATAGTAGGATTATGGATATTGTATCTTCTTTCTAGATACCCTTAAGGATTACTTGCATAGTATAATGAAAGATATAAATCTATGTAATATAATATGTTCCCGTCTCACTTGATAAATCCAGCAACTCTTTATGCCTTTAACACTTTTGATTAAAGTTTAATTAGTTATATGTGTTAGAGAAGAGTTGGCAAGACAAGTTAAAATATAATCAAAATGTTTGGATGAGATTTGAGGACATAAGAGCTTATATTTATGGTTTGAATACTAATGCCCAGGAGGTGTTTGGTAAAATATCTATTGGAAGAAATTTTAAATTATTTTCTGTAATGAAAGTTAGAGTTGAGTTAGAGATCTTTGGAAAAGATAGTTTGGGTGGTAAATTCAGGACTAATTGTTGTGTGTGTGTATATATATATTTATCTTTAAGATACGTATGGAGCATTTGATGCAATGTTTCAGAAAGTTTGGAGTTAAAATTTCACCCTTTTTACTTGTCTAAATTATCTTAGATTGATTATTCTTGTTTATTTAATATAATAACTGTAATAACCTAATAATTTAAGTAGGATTAAAATTGATGATAAATAACCTTGATTGTATTTTTATTAATTTTTTGAACAAACATAATAAGAGGGAATATTGGTCGAGTGGAAATTGTACTAACAAGTAACAACTGATCCTCTGCCAGGTCCCAAGTTTGAATCTTAGTGCTCTGAAAGTGAGTTTTACTTTTAGTTTCAGCTCTGTGAAGTTACCATTATGCCTTTAACATACTTAGATTTGTGTTGCCTTCTCCTTGATTCATTTTGCTTTTTGCATCTATTGAGTGAGTGACAGAAGTCTTGATCCAGAAACTTTGTCCTCCATTGTTCCATCCGTTCTCCCTCCATCATTCACACTCCTTGCTGTCGCTGGTGACCGTGGGTGTGCCAGAATCCTCCTCTCCTCTCATATTTCCTCCCCTGTTTTTCCTCTGATTTGTGCAACAGCCTCTTTGTCTTGGTTCAACGTTGCCATCGCACTCGTGTTAGTGATCGTGGGTGCGTTGATTTCTTCCTCCATTTTCAGTCAGCCAGCTTTTCTCCATGCTTCTGGCAACGTGAATCTGAGGTGAGGATGTTCAAGTTCTTCTCCTCGTTGCTGATTCTGTGAGTGTGTGTTTTGGTAGTTGTGGCTGTGATTCTCTTCCTTTCTTGATGCTACCACTTATGAATGTGTACAGAGGATTTGAGCAAACTAAAATTAAGGCTTAAGAGAACGTTTCCATTAAATAATTTAGGTATGATTGTTTTAGATTGCTGTTGACAGAGATGAACATGGATTCAGTTCTTCTTTATGAGGCTGAGAAATCTTGGTTAATTGAAGTATTAATAAGGGAAATTGCTGGGAAAAAGTTTTTTTTAAAAAAAAGAAGAAGAAGAAGCAGCTTGATGATATAGTGCGAATGTTGATGCTCACATGGTGTTTGTTTTAAATGTGTGGAAGAGTTGGAATGGAGTAGTTAAATATGTTCTATGTATTAAAGACCAGAATTTAAATTTAATATTATGATTGGCTCTTATGCTAAATCATATTTTTCTATGAAATTGAATTTTGGAAAAACATACAAAGAACATGTTGATGCTTGAGAGTTGTATTGTTGGCAATGTATAAATTATGGTACTTGTGTGACTCGATTTTGGAAAGAGTGTAAGGCGTTTGATGAAACATGGGAGAGGGAAATTTTTTATTCAATTGATTACCTAAGTGTGGGCGATGAAGTTTTTATGTTGCAACTTAGGATTAAGAAGCTTGCTTATATATAGTTATTGGAAAGTGATATAGGATCTATGAAGTTCATTCAATTTATTTATTTATTTTTGACCTGTAGCTTATTTTATTCATTTAAAACTTCAAATATGTTAAATAAAATGCTATGGCTTCAAGTTATGATGTTGTGCAAAGGGCACATATGTAAATAAAAGAGTTTAGTAATGGTATTGTTTAGTTAAAGTGTGTGTTAGTGAATTATTATAAATTTGTGGGTTAGAAAGAAATGTGGAGGAAATGAATGTATTTGGATATAAAACTAAGAGATTAATGTTCAAAAGCAAGGGGAAAAACACTACAATAATTAAGTTCGTGAGCTATTATGAGTTTGACAAAATTTTAGGGGTTCAATTATCATTATATTGAAATGTTTTAGGAATAAACCTTGTTGTGAAGAGCGTTAAGATTAAATTACATTGTTGGGACTTGGGATTGCCTTACGTAAGTGGATAACATCCCAACTAGCTCATTTACACTTTTCTTTTTCTAAACATTGGTTGATTGTTTCTTTGTGTGTAATTTTATTGCTATGTTTTAATTCCAATGTATCAATTATTATTATCGGGAATGTTTTCATTATACTATTCAGTTTTTAAGAAGAGAGATGAGTATTAGTTGATTGAGCACTCTTATTTATTGGGTTTATTTATAATGATTATCCTCTAATTTGAGGAATGATTAATCAATCTAAATCATGCAAGGGAAAAATACCAACAAATTTATTTATGCAAATGCATGTCAGAAAGAAATGGTATTTTGATGATATATGGACTCATGCATGTCATGGTTAAATTCTGGCTAGCTTGTTATTTGGGAGCTTAGTACTCATAATTATTTGTGGGTTTTATGCCTGTGCTTGTTTTGTGGCTCTTGTCGCCCTTGTTTCGTGGCTTCTGGATGCGCTTAGTTATTTACCCTCATGGACTATGTGTCCACGCTTGTTAGTTATTTAACTTCGTGGAATGTGTTTTCACTTTTGTTGGTTATTTACCCTCGTGGACTGTGTCTACGCTTGTTTAGTTATTTACTTTTGTAGATCGTGTGTCCACGCTTATTATTTGTTCAAATCAAGTCCTGCTAAATAATATGTTTTGAAATTTATTGCCTTTAAATTGATTTTGTGAAATAGGCAGTTCTCTTTCATCATGTATGGATTTCCTATAGTCAGTTACATAACCCTTAATTGTTTAAAGTGGATTTTGTATCTTAGAAGTGGAACTTGATTGCGTATCATCATTATTCGAACATATATGGTAATATATTTATTTGTAATAATTTGATATATGAGATATGTGCTCCTGCTTTTCTAAGTGATTAAGTTTTCTAAACTCATAAATTGTCTTCTTAATATTCTTTTATTTTATTTTAATTAACTTAAAAAAGTGGGACATTATTCATTAGAAAAAATATTTTTGGCCTCAGATATTATAGATGAATCTATATATCTTGAGTTGATCATTGAGAAGCTTTGTTGTTGAACTGAAGTGGAAAAATTATTTTGAACAAATCTCAATTGGATGTAAATTTAAGCTTTGTATTTTTTTTAATATTAGTCTGTCCTAGGTGCTCCATGTAGACATAGGTAGCGTTTTTGTCTTCTCTAGTAATGTTTGTCTGTTGGTAAGGAGAGAAGCTTGTTTTGTTGGATTGTAGTTTCACTCTGTTATTCTAAATTTTGAAAAGTTTTATTTTTAGGAGAAGTTTTGCCAAACTTTTTATAGATTGTTATTTGTATGAAAAATATAAAAAAAATTATATTTCTATATAAAATGTGTTTATGGTTTAAATTTTGAAGTTTTTTGTAGTAAGGCTTACGGGATATGGGTTTTACATGCATATTCTGTGTTAGTTACACCTTATTTTTGGGGTGTGACAATAATGGTAATGTCTAATTTTATGGCTTGTTAAATGACTAAACATTATGACTAATGTATGGAAAGATAAAAGAATTGCTCGAATATAAAATATAAAGGGTTAAGTTGGAAAGAGATAGAAATATCCTTTGACCAAGGACCCTTACTCATTAAGCATAATGATAGTGACTGATTTTTAGCTCGAGGAAGGATTAATAGTTTGAATTCATGCATGGGAAAAATGATGATAAATTTATTTATGCTTGAACATGTTGAAAAGAGATGGTATCTTGATTTTACAAACTCATGCTTGCTTGATTTAAATTGTGTGATTGAATCAAAATGCTATTTGTTAATAGCAGTTTCATTAGCCCTTAGAGCAACATGCTTAAAGCCTTGCTAGCTTGGTAATTGCGGGCATCACACTCACGCTTATCATTTGTCACTAATACAAAATCGCATATACAGGATGCCTCATATAGGACGGTTTTATAGAAAATTGTCCTATATCCAGCAGGTGGACTATTGGGCGCGTTTTTTTAAAAATTTTAAAAACCATATAGGACCGTTGTATAAAGAACTGTCCTCTATATTGAAATTATAAAGGACAGTTCCAAGCTTAACTGTCTTGTATTTGATTCTGATTTTTGAATTTTTTTTAAAAAACATAAACTTATAAAGGTCGGTTGTCATATTTAACCGTCCTGTATGTGGTGGCTATAAAGGACGGTTTTCATTTCAACCGTCCTATATAAGCAACCCTATAACAGACCTGATGCTCTACTTCTATTCTTCGATAATTTTCGTTCTCGGCAAAACCAAAATCGCTTGCATTCATCATTACTCTCAGAAACCCAGAACCCCATCATCATTTTCGTCGGAAACCCAGAACCAAAACCCACTAATCCTTCGAGTTCATCTTTGTTTGGGCTGTGAGTTCCAAAACTTTGTGTTTGTCTTTAGTAGCAACTTTTTGGCTTCAATTCATTGTAAGCTCCTTCAACTTCTTGGGTGTGCTCTGTGTGTTTGTCTATGCTCGAATTAATTGGGCATTTTATCTCTTTACTACTCACTTCTGAATTTATTGGGACGATATTTGGGGAGAAAAAAGATTAGATTTATAGATTGAACGTTGGTGTGCATAAGATGTTCGATAAAATGTTTGAAAGGAGAAAATTTCAACGTTATTAGCTCAGATTAAACCGAGTTAGTTGGTCAAACAATTCTGCTTGAACTAGGCTTCATATTAAACCCAGAATCGCGGAGCTTGAAACTCAGAATTTTGCTTGTGCCTATGTATTATGTCTTCTCCCTTCCTCTCTCATGCTCATGCTGCAACTGCATTTAGTGTTCATTGTTTTTTCTTTTAATTTTTCTTGTGGGCAGCTTTAACTATTGCTTGTGGTTCCCTTTCAAGCTTTAATCCTTACTTCCATGTCCTGCTTAGCTTTAAGCTTTATAGGTACTTTAAGCTTTGTTTTGGTTTAATTTATGGATTAAATTTTGTGAACTTCATCTTGAATTTGCTTCTATGACTTTTTGTGAGCTTGATGTTGATTTTAAATTAAAAAAATAAAGCTTGTGAGCTTTAATGATTGAATTCTAGAAAGTGCATTCACATTTTTGTACCAAATCAAAGAACTTTGTAATAGAAAAAATTGCATATCACCAAAAACAATTGTCAGATGTAACTAAAAGTGTAGAATATGAAGAGAGGGTTAAATACCCGGGAAAGTCCTTATTTTATGCCGTTATGTTGCCGAATTTTTGTTTAAGAGTACTAACAACTAGTTAGCACTCTTAAACAAAAAAAAATATGGCCTTTAGACATACACTTTTAACCCATGGGCTTAGTTTTCCCATTTTACTCTTCTGAAACTATTCATCTTAATATTCTTTTATTCATATAGTATCATTTACTATCAATCTTTGTACTGCAGTTGTTCTAGAAAAGTATATGTGATAAATCACGTGAGAACATCTAGACCTCTCACACATGTTTTGCACTTCTGAATAAACATATAGTTTTGTGTGCTAAAACTCGCATGGTATCTTATTACTCTCTTGTGTGGTTTTGTACTTATGAATAAACATTCAGTTCTGCATGCTAAAACTTATGTGGTATCTCATTGCTCTCTCGTGTGGTTTTGCACTTATGAATAAACATTTAGTTCTGTGTGCTAAAACTCGTATGGCACCTCATTGCTCTCTCACATGTTTTTGCACTTATGAATATACTCATAAATCAGAGTGATAAAATTTGCGAGTGCACCATTAGCTCTCACATGTGAAATGGCTGGTAGAATGCCAAAGCCGTTCTATGTGATCGAAACTTGTGTAGAACCAGAAAGCTATCACATGTGAAATTGTAAGCACTAAAGCACAAACTCATCTGGTGCATTTTCACGCATGGAACTACATATGACTCAAGCAAGATTTTGCATGATCAAAAGATATAGATTTGTGAATCAATGATCATAGATGTGAACAATTTTAGCCTGGCTTGAGACTTTCTGACTCAACAAAGCAAAATGTGATTGTACAATAAGTGATAAATCACGCATGGCTACCATCAGTTTCATGTGTGGTTTAATTTTTCACTTTGACACAATGCAATGAAGCATAAATGCTAAAACTTGCATGGACAGCAAAGACTTTCCCACGTGGTTTTCCATGCAGAATCAAAGCTTAAGGCATCACATAACAAAAGTGCTTAATCACGCGTGAATCATTTCTTCACACTTACGTGATCTAGCAGTCAGTGTGCCTAACATGCAAAAACTCATGAGTAACCTGCAGAATCACGTGTGATTTTGCTTCTCACACTACAAACAGCTTCTATGAAATTCAACATGTAAGAAAGACATTGTTTGCAAGCTTTAACACACTTATGAATCTTAATACATATAAATGAGACATATGATGCATTCATTTAATGATTATGAAAAGTGATTAAGCTCTCTAAGTTTTTACATTGAATTTAAGAGAATTTAAATAACTTATCCGAAACTTCTTCATCTTCTCTTGATTCTTCATACTCTTGAGGTTATTTTCATCCATGATTCTTTATATCTGTACACACAATAAATACCTCTTCTCTTGATTTTGTAATCATCAAAAGACATTATCCAACAATATCTATACTTGTTGGTTATTTATTCTTATGGACTATGTGTCCAAGCTTGCGGGTTTTCTTGCCTTCATGGATTGTGTGTTCATGTTTGTTGATTAATTGCCCTCATAGATTTTGTATCCATGCTTGTTAATCATTCTGATTAAATCCCACCAAAGAATGAGATTTGGAACTTATTGTTAAATTTTTTCTTGTATAGCAAACTATTCTTTTTACCATGCATGAATTTTTATATTTAGCTACATAATTCAATAGTGTTTAAAGTAGATGTTGAAGTTTTAAAGTGGAACTTGAACTTTTAATCCTTCTTATTTGAATTCATACGTTCATGATTTATGCATTTACATGAATATCTATCCATGGGCTATGTGCTTACATTATTTAAATCGTTTAATTTATTAAGTTTTTTGTTGACTCATTTATGTTTCTTTCCATTTTTTACTTCAACTGTAAATTGGGGTGTTATTTACTTGAAAGTTTTTTTTCCCTTAGATATTTTGACTGATGTTGTACCTACCACTGGTTATTGAGGGGTATTGGTATTGTTTATGAGTTAAGAGATTGTCAATGAAGCTTCTTTTGATATAAATCATTGTAATTATTAATTATGTTTTGTAATCTTACTTTAGGGGCTTTACATAGGCTATAGTTAGCATCCTAGTTTGTTTACCTAAGTTGTTAGTCTATTGATTGGAGTTGAGCTCTTGGTTATTGTTTTGTCTAAAAATGTTATTATAAAATTTTTAGAAGGCCCTATTTTTAGGAGAGGTTATGCCAAAATTTTTACAAAATTATTAAATCTTTTATTGTATGACTTGCATAGAAAGTGGATTGATCCTAGTTCAAATGCGTTCATGATTGAAAATGTTTTATTTCTTAAGTTAAGGCTTACAAGATATGGGCTTTTGTGCATCTATTTTGTGCCAATCACACCCTATTTTCAAGGGATAACAAATAAATATTAAATTATATATTTATATGTTTTAATGTATGTATTTATGTGTTTTTGTGAGAGAGAGAGAGAGAGAGAGAGAGAGAAACTTTATATTATCAATATATTTAAGTAATAACATGTTAAATATATAAAAAATACATTAAGTTAAATATATGTGTTCAATTAAGTAATATATATTAAATTTTGTATATTAATAATGAAAAATCTTTATAATTCAACTGGTAAAAGGTACATAGGAAAGGGAATGAATACGAATTTGTCCATCACTAATTTCATTTTTTCTAATAGTGATTGATAGATTTAGATTTAAATTAAATTTAAGATTTAAAATCTCAAATTAAAAATCCATGTATTTAAATTTTTTCGTTAATTTCAAATTCAAAGACAGTGAAATAGGGAGATGTGAAGTGAAAATGCAAAGAGATGAGAGTTAGGGTAACTAGCATTTTAAATAGCTAGGGTGTATGGGGGATTTGAAATTATAATAAAATGTATATTTGGATTTGAGATGTTGTAGATGAGATCTCTTTTGTAAACACCACCAATTAATCATGGCCATCCATTCTTTCCCATAGACATAGGAAGAAATTATCCACGTGAAAATCATGGCCGTTCATTAGTTCCCATCTTATCCAATGGTTGATGCTGCCAGTTATTTAAATTCTAAACTATATCATTTTGACAGGGCCAATATAAACAGTAAGTACGAGAAGATATGATATTCTGCTTTTTTGGATGGACAAAACCTGATCTTCATCATTAGGACAAATCTAAACAGTGTGTGAAAAATAAGAACTGGGATTATAAGTTTAGTTTCATTTATTAAGCTATCATGTTGAATGTATATATCTACTCTGATAATCGTCAACAATTTCGTTACAACAGGAGAGGCTTATAATGCTGTAGATATTCAGATTGCAATATACAAACACAAATTCGACAATTATGAGTACATTAAACACCCCCCAAGAAGAAAATTGTTTAAACATATATATATATATATATATATTTAGTTTTTTTTTCCTCTTTTTAATGTGCCGTTATGATAACCGTCCAAGACATTACAATCACAAGTGTTAGATAACTTGATCCACTTAATTAAGGTTTCAAAAATCAAACAGTTTAAGTTACTAATATATTCCATCCCTCTTTTCCCTTCCCGTTGATTAATCAGGAGCGATAGAATGATTGACCCTTTACACACACCATCCTAACCTTGCCACTGAATTATTCCTAAGTGGAATTCCATCTCTTTTATATTTACAAAGAAACCAATTATTTCAGCAATTATTGTAGCATAAAGCTAAAACTTTTGGCTGCGATTTCCCCCAATTTACTAAAAGATACTCTGCAAAAAGCAATTATTATAGCAAAGAGAATGAGATTTTGATTTGCAATTGTTATAGCAAAGAGAAAAAGACTTTGATCTCCTCACAACTTTGCTAACATATACTGAACAACAAACACAAGAACTTGAACATTTAACAAGAAGGAAAAAGATAATAAAGAAAATTTTAGATAAAAGAGAAAATTTGAAACAAACATTGTAGATATAGCTTCTATCAATAATGATTTCTTACCCTTCTCCTTCCTATCTTTGGCAGATCATCCACCAAACTTGCAAGCCTTCGAGGTTTACCACTAAATACTACAACCCAGAACATTGTTGATCCGAATAAAGCCCCACATACATACCCTAGTATGACAGGTTTCCATCCAAATTCAAATCTAACTTCAAAACTTGAATTTTGTAGTGATGGTTGTCTTTTAACATTAGGGATGCATGAAATCATTAGTTGAAAGCCACGCAATTTTTTGTTTCCTTTGAAAGAATCATTTGTGAAAGTCTCAAACTGTTGGCCCCTAGGAATGCAGCCTTCAAGTCGGTTATGTGAAAGGTTTAAAATAGATAAGAAGTTGAGATTAGTCAACTCTATTGGGATTTTTCCAATAAGATTGTTTGATGACAAGTCCAACCATTCCAAATTTTTCAAATTTCCCATTGAGTTTGGAATTGCACCAATAAGCCTATTATGTGAAAAATTGAGCCCCGTCAATGCACTAAACTCTCCAATAGATATGGGAATCTCTCCCTCAAACATGTTATTTGATAGATCAATGCATGTGAAAATAATCAAGATCTTTTCTATATGAAAGTCCCATAATCCTTTAAAGGTTAAGTCAACGGAGTCTTGATATGTGCCAAAAACTGGAGATTGATAACCCATATATTCTAAACTAGTTTCTCCCTTGAGATTTTTCATAGCATCAAAATATTTGAAATAAGTTGTAGGCAAAGAACCATGAAAGTAGTTGTTGGATATATCAAAAACTCTCAAGTTAGTGAAGGTATAGTTGGCTTTGTTGTTTACATGAGGGATAGAACCATGTAAGTTATTCTCCCTAAGAACGAGCACTTGCAATTCCTTAAGGTCTTGAACCCAATAGGGAAATGTATCATGAATACCATTTTTACCAAGATCTAAAAATTTTAAGTCTGCACAATAGACCAAAGATTGAGGCAACAAACCATGTAGAAGATTACCATTAAGATTTAGGGTCCTTAGCTTGCTTCCCTCCTCAAATGTTTCTGGTATGGTGCCATGAAAGCTATTGTTTTGGAAATCCAACACATGAAGAGAAGCAAGGCTAGAGCTTCCAATACAATGCGGAATGTTGCCACTGAAATTGTTGTGGGACAAGTTGAGAACTTCAAGTGAGCTAGCATTGCAAATTGAATAAGTGAGCTCTCCTTGAAGTGAGTTGGAACTCAAGTCAATGAAACACATACTTTTCCAAGAGAAGTGATGCAATTGCACTCTTCCTGTGATAAAGTCATGAGAAAGGTTGAAAGATAGAGTTAGTTATGAGGAAAAGAATTACATATATAATCCCTCCCTAAAATTTCACTTGCCCCTTAAAAATTTCACTTGCCCCCACCTGAAAATACATAATTTAACATCAAATTTTCAAATCTAAAACACATATATTTGAAAATATAATTTTTATTATACTGATTATAAAAGATATATTGTTTCTTTAGTAACTAATTTAATAAATTTTATTTTATATTAATTTAATACATACTTATAATTATTTTTTCATGAGATAATAATATTAATTATTAATTTATCTTTTGGGTCATCACTGATGTATTGGAGGATAAGTCTAACAAGAAGATATCTTTGAGACTCTACATAGAAGAGGGTGTATGAGAAATCAACTACTGGTCAATTTTTTTTTTTGGTTAAAATTACTGGTCAATTTTAAGACATTACATATATCAAAATTACCTATGTCTTTGCGTATAAAACCTGGACAAAAAATAAAAAATAAATTGAAGGATAACAACTTCTGCATAAGAGGATTAACTTAAAAAAAAAAGATAATAAGGACATGTCTTGACTTATTTTATTTGTTAAATGTAGTTTAAGTGTAAGCGTTTGAATTGAATATTGACATTGACTATGATTTGTTTTCATATTAGTATGTTTAAAAATAAATAAAATGCTAATTGCGTGTTAATGTCGAAATTGAAAGGAATATGTCCCACTTAAATGGCATGTTCCCAAAGATGAAATTAGTAAACATTTCAATATTAGTAAACAATATGAAATTATGAATGAAATGATGAAATAAAAAATATTATTTTAGATATACTCATTTCAAAAAAGAGATTTAAAGAAAAAGAAAACATAAATATAATTAAATATATACCTGTAAATGAGTTACCATCCAAATCTAAATATAATTCTTTTAATGATATATATAATAAATAAGAAAATGCGTAATTCCAAACTTGTCTGTATTTTAATGTAAAATTAATATTAAACTTACACCATCTTACAAAAATTATCAAATGTTATTAACTCTGGTATCATATATAATAAATATCACAGTTCTTAATCATTTGTTATTTTGGGCTTGTAATTACTAGCTAGCTATACAAATGAAACATTAAAGACTTCAAGTAAAGGAAATTGATGGCACATGTTTTTTGGCAAATTACCATTTAAATAATTCATGCACAGATTAATCCCTCTCAAAGAAGGCATCTTAGCTTCCAAATAAAGGAAGCAATTCCACCTATAAGTAAAAATATAAAATATTTGTTTGTTGACTAGAAATCTCCTGAATTCATTTTGTAATTAGTTTTTGTTAATAGAGGCTTAAAATTAATAGAAAATAAAATATTTTTTGCTGGAAAGAAATTTAGATGGGACTCTTTCAATATATCAATTACCAATTGTACATTAAAATTTCTTTTTAAAAAAGAGATATGGTGAAATAGATTATGAAATTAATTTTTCCTTGTCTAAACAGAACAATCAAATTATTTATAGTTCGCACTAAAGTGATTTGATATTTACAAGGCTCTAACTTTAAACTTTAAGGATGAATTCATGGTATTAGAAAAGACAAATTTTTAGTTTCTATCCAAGGGATTAAAACACTTTCAGTTATGAATTTTGTAGAAAATATAGAATAGGAAAAATGAATTTTCCTAATGTAAAAACTCAAAGTTGTTGGTTAAGAAAAATGGATTGTATTATACATATCAAGTATACTATAACTTTTATTCTTAAATAAATTTCAGTTAAAAATCATGCAAGCAATATAGAAAAGCATAAATAATAAATGAAAAGTTGGTGAAGAATAAAATTAAAGGATGGGTAGATTGAGCATACCTGAAAAGGAGTTGCATGATAGATCTAATTCTTCCAACAATGTGGCATTGCCAATTGATATTGGAAGACTTCCATTCAAATTGTTTTTTGATAAAACCACACTGCTTAAAGCAGCAATGTTAAAGAGAGATGATGGAATTTTGCCTGTTTCAATTTAAAAGTGAACAATTTACATTAAAGTAGGGTAATAGTTACAAGACTCTAAATCATATTTAACCGTAAATTTATCTAGGTGTCATGAAAAGCACAAATAATAATAATAATAATAATAATATAATAATAATAATAATAATAATAGAATGAGACAAGAAAGCTAGATGAAATCATTTTAATTGATGGCCATTTTCTAGGAGTCAAAAAATTAATCTAACAATAGTAAATAGAATAAAAACAAACACACATATTTGAAAATTGGATTTATCATAAAGATTACCAACGTGCCTTGCGCCAATTATATGTCTTTGTGCATAATGTTTCTTTTTTTATTATTTACTATTATTTACGGTATCTTATCAATTTATAGTTTTAGTAAATAATACTTTTCTCCTTTTTATGAGATACTTATTCTATTATATTGGTTGGTATAACATTATAGTAACAATAAATAATAAAAAGTCAATCTTTTATATATAATCAACACTATTCATTATATTATATGGGGAAAATCACATCCAAAGAACTAAAAAGAAAGTTATTTATAGACAAGGACCAACAACAAGTCTCATCTAAAAAACAATAAATCTATATTTCCATTTTAATAACAATCCATTTCATATTAGTCCTTATATATAAATAATTGTCTTCTTAGGTCCTTGGATGTGATTCTCCCCATTATATATGAGGTGACATTGGGTAATAATATTTGTAAACAATATTACTAGGTACTATCTATGTATCTTCGATTTTCCTATTGGTAAGGAATTAAATAATTCATAAAAACTACACAATAAATGTGTTGGGCCACATATAAATAGTTTAATAGCAAAATTAAAAGCCAATCCTATTATATTGTTAGAGAATATGCATATTAAAACAATATTTCAGTATTCATGCATATGCAACAATATATCATGGATATAATTAAAATGAAAACGTTCCATTTAATTAAAAAAATTTATATATATAACATTTCAAGTTTTTTCCCATAAAATGTCAATTTTGAATTAGTTGAATTTCCACCATCACTTGGTATATATGCTCTATATGTAAATAGTAATTTTTTTAGGAGAGATATTAAGAAAATTTCCGGTATAATTTTGGAATTAGTTGAATTTCCATTATCACTTGGTATATACTATTGAAGCCATGCATCGGTGGATAATTTTGGCCATTAAATTACTTTTATGCACATAAAATGGCTCAAGTTTTGGAAGCCCAAAAACACATTTATTTAGGAGACTTTCAGATAAATAATTTGATCCAAAAAACAAACTAGCTAGTAAATAGTGATGATATAATCTCTCCTTCAATTATTAGAAACATGGTACGTTGGTAAAAAAATCTTTCAGTTTTTTCTTTTACATGCCATATGTAAGAGACGAATTTATATTTTCTACAACAGCATTGAGGACTTGCTCATGTTGAGAAATAACACTAATACACCCAATTGGTAGGACCAATAACCATAGAGTACATTTGTTCTCATGTATGGGATGTGAGTATGTGTTTTCATGTGTGATGGATGGATTGTCTATATTTATATACACGCTCGTGTATATAGAGAAAAACTTACCTTCAAAAAGAAAATTCAGGGAAAATGAAAGAGAAAAGCATATCAAACCCGATTGGTTCTGTCTGTCATTTCCATCATTATATCAAAACAAATAGGGATATTATAAAAAATTCAAATTATGTCTTTTATGATCTTTTTTTTTTTCGCTTTGAGAAATGTTCTTTTTGTGTGTTCTAAAGAGTTGGTCAACATAAGAAAAAGGAGTAGCAAAATAAAATGGGCAACTCTGCACTTAATGTGCCTAACTATGTGTCAACAGATTAAATGAATGAAATGATGAACATAGAAAATTAATGAAATGAGAAAAATGCAAATCTCATTTCAAATTTACCTGTAAATGAGTTGTTGTCCAAATATAACCCTTTTAAAGATGTGCAGTTACTTATTGATTTTGGAATGCTTCCCTCTAAATAATTATCATCAAGAGCCAAGATTTCCAGCGTAGGGAGTTGATGACACATTTCTTCAGGCAAACTTCCATTTAAATTATTCCTTTCAAGGTTAACCAATCTCAAAGAAGGCATGTTCCATAAAAGTGAAGGAATTTCACCTGAAAAAATATAAATATTTAATTCATTTGATGGTCAAGACAAATTTTATACTTATGGTGTGAAAATATCTTCAAGTGAAACTTTTGGAGGCATTATAGAATAAGCACTATGCTTATCATCCTCAAAAAGCAGGATAAATAACACACAAAATTTTGTTGAAAGCATAAAATTAAGGGATGGGTGGATTAAAGGGAGCTTGTAGTTAGAAGCTCTCACAATACTCTTTAACACTAATAGATATAGGTGTCATAAAAAGAATAAAAATAAGATATCATAAAAGAATGAAATGTGAAAAAGCTTTATGAAATCATGTTAATTCACATGAATTATTTCAAGAGTTAAAAAAATATGATGTGAATGTATTAGAAATAATACAATTATAGATATTAAAAATAATCCAAAGCACACCTGACAAATTGTTACAAGGCATATTCAACAAGTTAAGTGAAGATAATAAGTATGAAATTGTTGCTGAAACCACTCCTGAAAATTTTTTACCCCCAACTTAACTTGTAAATGATATATATTTTTTTGTTATTTTCTCTCCTATTAATTTTAACTATATATTTTCTCTCTCCTCATCATTCTTTATTTATTTAACTTCTTGTTCATTAATTATCCTATTTTCTTATCCCAAAATTTTTAATTTCAAATTAAGTAATTATTATATGAAAAAATTTAATTTGAAAAGTATTATTTAATTTCACATAGCACAAATTTTGAAGTAAACATATAGCATAGATCCTTTCTATATCCAAATGACTTATAATGATGCATTTTATTTATTTGCTGAGTAATAGGAATATCTCCTTTATGTATTCTGTTATTAAATTCATAGAGTTTAGAGTTTTCTTTACTGTTATTGTAACGTCCCAAATTTTAGATCAAGAAACTCAAAATATGCTCGAATTTAGTAAGCTACTAATCTTAAGTAACCAAGAGTCACAAAGGTGCCCTAAAAAGTTATTTCGAGGGATGAAATTGTAATTTTAAAATCTTTCTAAGACAAAAGCTCCCAACTAGTTTGTATCAGTTGAATTTTGTCATACAAAAATTACGAAATATTATTAAGTCTGGCGTACGTATAAATCACAGTACTGAAAACTAAATCGGTCAGCCCAATCATGATTAGAATAACATAATTCAACTAAATATACAAAAAAAAAAATCACATGTAAACCTAAAGGAGTAATATTTAAATAGAAAGCATTAATCCACAAGTAAATGTAACATTTATGTATAAACTACACATAATCCAACAAAACAAAATTAGTAGAATACAAATTTGACGGACATCTATTTTTTCTTTTAACTTAAACTGATGTCTTTTCAGGCTGAGCAAAGGAGATAAAAAATATAAATCCCACACAATTGACCCAACCAAAACTCTTAATTGGACCTACCAGAGGACTGATTCACTAATGTGACCGTCTAACCCGCGCTGAATTTTAATCCGTTGGTGTGTGAGTGTGTTTTTTTGTTTTTTTTATAAATAAATCTAAAACTGACATTCAATCCAACCTAACCACATCTCCTGTCGTCTACAAAATGAAGATAAAAATATGTAAATATTAATTTTTATTAGGAGAGGGATTAAGATAATTTCTGGTATATTTTTGGAATAAGATGAATTTCCATTTTCCTTTGGTATATATGTTCTATTGAAGCCATGCATCGGTGGTTAATTTTGGTCGTGAAATTATTTTTATGCACATAAAATGGCTCAAGTTTTGGAAGCTATAAACACATTTTTTTAGGAGACTTTCAGATAAATAATTTGATCCAAAAAAGCAAACTAGTTAGTAAGTAATGATGATGTAATGTTTCCTACAATTACTAGAAAAATGGTATACGTTGGTAAATAATATTTCAATTTTTTTCTTTCACGTGTAATATGTAAGAGACAAATTTATATTTTCTACAACAGCATTGAGGACTTGCTCATGTTGAGAAATAACACTAATACACCCAATTCGCAGGATCAATAACCATAGAATATATTAGTTCTCATGTGTGGGATGTGAGTATGTGTTTTTGATGTGTGATGGATGGATTGTCTATATTTATGTGCACGCATGCGTGTGTGTGGAGAAAATCTTACCTTTGAAAATAAAATTCAGGGAAAAGGACAGATAAAATGAAAGAGAAAAGCATATCAAACCCGTTTATCATTTCCATCAATATATCAAAACAAATAGGGATATGAGAAATAATTAAAATTATATTTTTTATTATCAAAATTTTTTTCGTTTTAATAAATGTTCTTTTTGTGTGTTCTAAAGAGTTGGTCAACATAAGAAAAAAGGAGTAGCAAAATAAAATGGGCAACTCTGCACTTAATGTGCCTAACTGTATATCATCACATTAAATGAATGAAATGATGAACATAGAAAATGAATGAAATGAGGAAAAGGCAAATCTCATTTCAAATTTACCTGTAAGCGAGTTGTTCTCCAAATATAATTTTTTCAAATATGTGCAGTTACTCATTGATTTTGGAATGCTTCCCTCTAACTAATTATCATTAAGAGCCAAGATTTCCAGCACAGGAAGTCGATGACACATTTCTTTAGGCAAATTGCCATTTAAATTATTCCTTCCAAGGTAAACCTCTCTCAAAGAAGGCATGTTCCGTAAAAGTGAAGGAATTTCACCTGAAAAAATATAAATATTTAATTTGTTTAATGGTTAAGACAAAGCTTATACTTAAGGTGTGAAAATATCTTCAAGTGAAACTTTTGGAGGCAGCATAGAATAAGCACTATGCTTATCATCCTCAAAAAAGCTGTATAAATAATACAAAAAATTTTGTTGAAAGCATAAAATTAAGGGAGAGATGCATTAAAGGGAGCTTGTAGTTAAAAGCACCCACAATACTCTTTAACACTAAACAGATATAGGTGTCATAAAAATAATAAAAATAAGATATCATAATACAATGAAACACGAAAGGCTTTATGAGATCATATTAATTCTCATGAAATCTTTCAAGAGTTCAAAAAAATATGATGTAAATATGTATTGGAACAAAGACAATTATAGATATTAAAAACAATCCAAAACACACGTGACAAATTGTTACAATGCATATTCAATAAGTTAAGTGAAGATAATAAGTATGAAATTGTTGTTGAAACCGCTCCTGAAAATTTGTTACCCCCAAATTAACTTGTAAATGATATGTGTGTGTGTGTGTGTGTGTGTTATATTTTCATATATTCATTTTAACTTCATATTTTCTATCTCCTCATCATTCTTTATTTATTTAACTTCTTTTTCAGTAAGTATCCTATTTTCTTATCTCCAAAATTTTAATTTCAAATTAAATAATTATTATATGAATAAAAACTTTAATTTGAAAAGTATTATTGAATTTATAGAGCATATATTTTGAATTATAATGATGGATTTTATTTATTTGATAAGTAACAGGAATATGTGATTTATGTATTCTGTTATTAATTTCACAAAGTTTAGAGTTTTCTTTACTATAATTGTAATATCCCAAATGTTGGATCAAGAAGCTCAGAATATGCTGGAATTTAGTAAGCCACTAAGCCCAAGTAACCAAGAGTCATAAAGGTGCCCTGAAAAGTGGTTCTAAAGGACCAAATTGTAATGCTAAAATTTTTTGGGATAAAAGTGTAATATTCTCAAAGACTTAATGGAAGTGCCAAGAATTGAGAATTGAGCAAATTAAAGTCAAAAAGTATCCAAGAGGATAAAAAAGGTATTTAAGATCAATCTTGGAGAACAATCAATACAGTTGCTAAATTAAACAAAGGTAAAGTTATTTGATAACTTTATCCTTAGGACTTAGGCCTTCTAGAGAAAGATCACAGTTAGATTCTATGGATCATAGTAGATCAAAAAAGAGCTAAGTGATATTACAGTTAGATCTCATTATTATAGTAAACCTGGCTAGTAGAAGGTTATTAAGTCACAAAGTATGCGGCAATGCTCTAGGAAGACAATAGCTTAGGATGAGCTTAGAATATAGAAATCTCTTAAGTTTAGCTAACTATTACAAAGTATCATTGATTTTTTTTAGATAACTTAATTGTTATTTGGGCTAAGAAAAGAAAAAAGAAGAAGAGCAAGCAAGAGTAATAGCCTATTCAAGACAAAATGTTAATACTAATATTTAAGATACGTGAATAATATAGTGAAATTATAAGAAAGTACTAGAGTTAAAGATGAGCAAAAAGAGTACATTAACTAGAAAATATAAAGTTCAACTAGGATCAAAATGTGAAAGATTTGGGCATTTAAGTGTAATTACAGAAAAATTACCCAACATTTAGAAAGAATCGAAGGAAAAATATTTGAAGGAAGAGAAATATTTAGAAGAATTACATCATGTTTTTTTACTAAATATTTAATCTTGGAATTTTTATCCAATTGGGTCACGCAAATCACCAAAACCTCTACCCATTATAAATTTAAAACCTATAATAATTCCAAGTGCGATTTAAGAGATTGTAGCGTCCTTGGACCAGCAGCAAGTGTTTAATTTAAAAATTATAATTTATACTTGGTCCAAATTGAAAGGGAAAATGCTTAATTAGAATTAGTGGAATTGAAACATTATTAAACTTGGTTTAATTTTTAAAGCTTAACCATAGTTCCTTATTCCTTTAGCCTAATTTTCGGTGGTCTTGCAGCAAAAGAGTAAGAGCGCGCAGAGAGAGAGAGAGAGAGAGAGAGAGAGAGAGAGAGCTTCAAGCCTTCAAAAATAGTTAAAAGAGAGAGAGAAACAAAAACCAAGATAAATCTCCCACTAATCCACCTCAAATCCCAAAACACTCTTGACAAAGATTGTTCCTTGCATCAAGAGCTTTATTCATATGGTTTTGGATTTTTCAAGTAAGAGTTTTGGAGACAGAAAGCTAGATCAAGAAGAAAAAGTTATCGAATCAAGTGCTAAAAGAGGAGAGGTAAGAGTAAACTTCCTTTTGTCACAGTTTTCATTT